ATATGAATCTTTGCATCACTATCACTCAGAAGCTAAGCATGTCGTTCCATTCCAGAGAGGAGCAGATAAATTAGCAACAGGAAATCTTCCTTGGGTAGACTATGTAAGTTCTCCTTATCGCTATGGAGGAAAGCTCGAAACAGGTGAATATCTGTTCACTTAGTTTATAAACTGACAACGAAAACGAACCCAATTTATTTATAAATGGACTTCATACAAATGAATACTTTATGATTTTTAGTTTAAACCGTCAAACTATAGAAACACAAAGTACATTTCTATTTCAAGTTAATTGCCTTATTATATTAATATAAATATGCATGCTATGAATTTAATGAGGGGACGGATATCACAATGGTAATGATGCCGCTCATCAAGAACACAGCGCTGGTTCGTTCCCTCTCCGGCCTCACCAAATCTCAAATACCGCCGGGGTCGGGAAATTGGTAGTGAACTGGTCCGTGAAAAAAAAACCACTCTCTGCAATCCAAATGGGAACGCTCCAACCCGACTAGATGGAATAAAAGTCTTAAAGCAATAGCCGAAGCAACGCGTAAAAGTTGGGAGACCTTCAGGGAAGACGACAATTTTTTTTATTCTATACGGCGGATAGCACAACATAAAAAAAACCAAAAAAAAAGAATTGTGAGAAAAAGGGCCTCTTATTAAAACGAAACTAAGCGTGGAAATTTTGAAACCCTGCAAGTGTATTCGTTTTTTGATCAAATAAGAATAAAATAAAATTTGTTCTACTGGTGAGTATCGTCTCCAGATATACGTAAACTTGCCCTCAACTCTTTCTTATCTGCGTATCATTTCGTCTCTCTTTATATATTCTTAAGTTATTTGTTCTCTCTACGTCTTTTCTTTTTAAGCAATTACTACGAATCGAACTAATCCAGAAGACGAGGATTTTGATCAACCAATGGACATATCTTAGGCACAGTTATAACCACACCGTCAAATTAGTTGCACAATAAACGTTGTTCTACACCTTGACGTTTTGCCTCGCCCTAGTGCAGATTTTGTAGTGGCGGTTTTATTATCACCTTCTTATTAGTTCATGCAATAGTATCCACACGTCAGGATTCTCAGATCAAACGTTCTCAGGTGAAGTTTAGTGGTAAAATATATGCTCAACATTTTAAGCACTTTATTTTACGTGTAACTTTGAATGCACAGAGGTCGTAGAGTGAGACTGATAATAGGTATCAAAAGCACGCAACGGACCAGACGCATTGGTTTCAATGCGCACACGTCCAAAAATAATTGCTCTAAAATGTGAAACTCTGAAAAACGGTATTTCAGCTTCTGGTGAACCCTGCTGATTGAAATTAGTATCGCTAACAGATCTTTGCTACAAAATACTAGCTATCTTGCTCTACAAAGACAGAATTCTTACGTTTTTCTTTCGAGTACATAAAGCGTATTTTTTCGCTTTTACTTGCCCAATCTCAGAATGAAGAAATAGTTGGGAATTGGTGAGACAAGGAGGACATGATGGTGTCTCCCACAGATGTTCTGTTGATATCTGCCTCTTGTGGCAAAAATACCCTTTCCAACCACAATGATGTTGAAATACTTGCAAAACTTCGAACGGTAGATGTCGGCGGTGGGGATCGAACTCGCTATATCCTTTCCGGAGGCTCACGCGCTTACCCCCATACTATGCGCGTCCTTCGTTTCGCCTTTCTCTCAACTGATACCGATTTCGTCTCAATTTTTATTGACAAGAACTTAACACGGATTTGGAAATCGACAGGACTTATCAGAAGAATTATTTTTAACCTAAGAGCGATCGAGTAAAACCTCTTCTGGAACTCCACCAATTTCTGATCCCCTTTAACTACTCCATTTATCGAAAAAAAAAATTCGGGAATTACCAGAAAACAAGCAACAGCTGCTAGGTCTTAAAGCACGAAGCACAGTGGAAGAAAACGGAAATTGAATGAATTCCTCAAACGAAAACGGAAAAAAGGGGACTGTTTGGTCTTTATAGTCATTTAATCAATACTTTAATATCCTACATCCTGTCCCACATTCATCTCAAGGTAGCTTTTTATGGAATCATGCGATACGAAAATTATGGTCTCATACCAGTTTGCATCAAAATATCTGTTCATAATGAACAACATTAAATGAGTGAAAGACATTCAGACTATACAAATTTTAGTTTATAAGACAGTGTTCTTTTTTCTCACCATGACGAATCTCTTACTTTCTACAGCTGCCGACACATTTCTTGGACTTCTTCTCCGTCATGGCTCGTATGTCGAACGCGAAAGCAATTGAACAAGCGGGATTTGGTCAAGCAGAGCGTGACGACGTGCCGAACGGATCGTTGAATGTTTGTGGCCGCCGCAATTGTGCGGGAACATCAAAAATTCAAATTCTACTTCAACTTTTTCCGAAATTCTGGTTGCAAAGAAATTTAAAACTGAAGTAATACTTTATAAACGCCTCATTTTAGAGCTAACAAAGACTGGTGGATAACATAACCTCAGAGATTTCACACAGCGTTCCCAGTAAGCAAACGAGATAAAAGCGAAAAAATTTATTCAGGATACGAGACACAGCCCAAAATTAGTTTGTGGGGACATGGAAATCAGCCTAATGGCCTATAACATCCATCTCATGAGTATCAAAATCCCATGCATGGATTGTATCCGTTAACAATGAAATCAGTTATATTTAACAGACTAACATGATCCTATGCTCTTTCAAGCCTCAAATCCGGATATTAAACGTGACAGTAACAAGACCGGATTTAGAGCCAACAATATCGTGAAACAAACAAAACAACCACGGAGTGATGAAATTCCAAAGACAGCGGTGTGGATATAAAATTATGTGTATTACACAAAGACTCAGGCGTCGTTTTCTTCGCCATCTGAGCCACCTTCGTCGTCTACCTGAAACAACACTAGACATAAAGATCAAAGAAGCACATTAAAAAGGCGGAACCATTTTCGAAGTGACAAGGTTTGAACTGGTACAGGAGGGTAGCATAAAAGAGGCGTCACACAGTAAACTCAAATTTTGACATAAAATGATAGACCAAGCAAGCTCGTCTGCAGTAAATCTGTACCTTTAGTAAAATTAATCACCTCTTCCTTGCCAAACTCTGGATTAATTGCACTAAAAAAGATGAATCGTTCTCAGCGAAAACGATTTCGAATGTCTGTCGCAAAAAACCTGCAATCTTTATAGCTCCGCATTCGTCAAACACTTAACCAGACACCTTGCATTCTCGCCTCGATCGAATGAAAAGTCAAGGAACAGTTCTTCCAAGGGCCGTGGTTCAGCTAAAACTTTGAGCTCAAATTGACTAAGATCAATAGTATCAGAACAACGCATTTTTCCAGCGATCGTTCTGGAAGTTGACCCTACTCATCTACGTCCGTTATTGTAGGATGACCGTCATATCAGCTATAGGCTTGCCACTGCTGCTATCATGAGTACTATACGACTCATTTCTTTTGGCTATTTAATTTTGAGCAGGGCTTTCCTGCTACGAGGTTTGTATTCAGTCGATAGCTTATCCAACTCCGATGCTGTGGAGGATGTCGACCAAGAAAAGCTATTCTCCACGCTTAATAGCTTACAAGACTTCTACAGCTCTACAAAACATCGTTTTTCATACAACTCTGATCTCATTTGACCTGAGCTCACAAAGAAAGTACAGTATGAATTATTGCTAATGAGGAAAGTACAGATTGCGAGAGTAACACATATGAGGATAGAAGAATTAGAGCATAAATCCTGCCACTATTGCCTTGTGCTGAGAGAGAAATAGAAGGGTGGTTGATAAATCAGTTATATATAATTCACGAACTAGGAACGCTTTGGAAGGTATGGTCACTTATAACTCTTCGCATATGGAACGAAAAATTAGACAACAACCAAAGCAGTAGTCAGATAAAACTATATTTCGTGGTCAGGGTGTCAGATATAGACCCAAAAAGTGGGAAAAATAGAAAAACTTATAAATAAATGTAAAAAGGGTTCTTGATGTAAAATTCATACTAATTATATTAGGTGGTCAAAGCACATTACTTCATGGTGCTAAGAGAACCGCCAATCAAACTCATGGTCACAACATCGGTTAACTAAATGGACCTAATTGTCGGCCGGAAGTAAAAGTACAGAGCACTCATTGGTTAAACCTTTCGATGGGCTTGAATACATACTACTTTTCGTTCACCGTTAAAACCTTCAAACACTCTTTGCTTCAAAGGTGCTCTTCAGAAACATGATAATGCATAGGGAAACCGAGGTCATATGACTCATTTAAAAGGAAATAGGACAGAATAAGCGCTGACAGATGACGAAACCCTAAGGAAGGAGCCATGCACTCAAGTTGGTAAGGCATCGTTAGAGGTGACTGAATGAATATCTGGCCTATAGAGTGAATTGTGGTGGCCTACAAACTCGGTGCTGTTTTCTCCCATGCAAGTCTGGTACCGATTCTCCGACACGGAGGGATGGAAGACTTGCGATCGAGCTAACGACCTCGTGGTGTGCATCATAGACTATTATCCTCTGAATACATGTATATATATATATATATATACATATATTCATATACACACATATACATATATATACATGAGTACGTATGTATATGTATATATATATATATATATATATATATATATATACATAAGTATATGCATGCAACTGCAATTCCTAGATGCAGGTGCTACTTAGGTTACTGTCATTTAATCACATCCATACACAGGTGTTAAAGTAAAACCAAATGTTAAATAAATTTACACGTACAATGCAAAAGCAACCAATAAGCTTGGAGAATGGACACCTACAGAAATCGACTTGTTGAACAAATACTGCAATATTTAATATACTGCAATATACTGCAATATAATATTTATATAGTTCACACATTTGCAATAAGTATTGTTTTCATTACCGAATAATTTTGAAGAGCATGGAAAAATAGCGGTGAAATTTATAACTAATACCAAACAATGGCCTGAGCACTATATTTCGAGCGAAAAAAGTGGTACACCTACCTCTTCGAGGCCTTCTTCATCTTCTATAAGCTCTTCAAAGTCATCGCCAGTTTCTTCCATTTCAGGCAAAAGATAGTACTGCAGTGGGTTTGGCCACATGTCGTCTTTTATTACCTAAACATCAAACAGACACACTAGTTGAAAACCCTGGGAAGAAAATTCACCGTGGACAACACAACCTCAGCGATATCGTCGTGTGCTGGATCCACATTCTCTGACAGCCATTCAAAGAACGAAAGCGGTGATGAAGAGTCGCCTTTCTATAAAGAAAAAAGGCTGTTTCGTTATGTAAAAACATAACATCAGTCAACCAAGGGAAAGGGTACGGAGGAGTTTTACGGAATAAAATACAAACAATGCTAACTTTTTATTCACTGCCCATTACAATTTCTCACCGCAGGGTATTATGTGTGATACAACCACAATGGTGCTAAGATATTTGCAAGACACAGGACGGCAGATGCCTGCGGTGGCGAACGAACGCGCTATAAACCTTTTCAGAGGCTTTCGGGAAGCGTTCACCACCACACCATGCGTGTCGTTAGTTTCGCCTTTCTCTTAGCTAGCTCGCTATCTACCAGTGCCATCACTAATAAAATATGAGCTATTAACTATATTGTTACCTTTCCTAAACTTTTCCCTTCCTTCCACCGTATTGTCGTGCCAGTGGTTGATGGATTGTCACCAAGATTGTACTCCTTTTCGATCTTTTCATTTTCAAAAAAATCATTTGGGGTGAAAAAGAAACGTATGCGGAAACCACTCTTAATGTCGTCAAATTCATCAACCTAAAGAAAAAGTAGGAAAATGTTAAGCAAGAAAGTGTAAAATAGGTGCTTACACGAAGTGCACACACTAAAATGGACATTTTAGAAACACGTTCATCGAACCTCAATGTTGCTAAGATGTGCTAAGACTTGCTCTTCGCTCTCATCGATAATAGACGAAAGTTGAGGATGGTTGAGGAACTGAAAGATTAACATGTAACCCCCTAAACAGTCACTGAAAGAAACTGCTCAAGAAGCATTTACTAGCGAGAACAACACGTCCATCAACTTGTACGTTAAAAACAAAAAGAGAAAAAACCAAAAAAACCTAAGAATGACTAATCTTCAGAATATCTAAAGAACCAACCGCTGTGCACCAGAAGTTCGGAATCTTCTTTATCATCTCACATCGCTTCTCATATTGAGGCCGACGAAGGAGATTATACTTTTGCTCAACCTCAAAATAGATTTTTTAAACAAAATGCCCACCACAGAAAAAGCGTCATAGGATGGACCACAGGGTTTTTTGGATTCAGAAAGCGGTACTAATTTGTCACCTGACACAATCCTTATGTTTCCACTTAAATTTTTCTGATAACGGTTACTCATTACTCCATTATTCAAAGGAACAGTTTAGCTATAGTGGGACTTCTACCTTTGTGTTTCTATTAACTATAATTAATGGATTTTCAATCATCATCGTCTTCATCTTAACTTTAGAAACTTTGCCAACACATATCTCTCACGAACATTAGAAAGTTTTCAGCTACTCTATCGGCTACATCGTTGCTTTTGAATTCACTTTCTTACAGTATTAATGGAATCCTACTTATAGTTTTCCCAATCTTTGTAGAAAGTAAAACATTCCCTTTTGAAGTCTAATATGGAATAGAGAACTAGAGAACCACAAAGAAAATGTATTCAAACCTAACGAAAAAGGGTTACACATCTAAATATGGCTTCTGTTTAGCAAACTAAGATGACAGCAGACCAAGATGCCGATGACACATTAAAATAGTTGGAGACTTCAGCTCTGCGGCACAATGTCCTGCACTTTGAATAGGTCCCTCCAAATACTACAGTAACACTCTATTAAATCGACTTTCACTTAACTTCGGCATAAATCATCAGTGTATTTGTTTGGACTGTTTAGCTTAGATGAGGTCGTAATATAACCCTTATCCCCTATCATTTCGACGTCCTAGTCTTCTTCAGAGCCGATGATCCGAGTCGATGGTCCACAGTCATTCGTCCTCTCGTTGTGGGTCTTCGTATTCGCATCGAGTCCAATCTTCTTAAGCGGAAAACCGCCCAAAGTTGAATAGAAACTATGTGACAATCTCGTGTAAGTTCAATAATATAGACAAATATGCTACGGTAGTAGTACGAAGTAATATGAACCCAATAGTTCCTAGGACCTAAGCTTTGACCAAGCAAGCAAATCCTACTGAAAAACTGAAAGAATAACTTCTCTACTCAAACCTTCAAAATCTCCTCTGATGCCTTTTCATTCAGACTATCGATTTCATTCTGTACCGTATCGATCTCGATCAGAACCTTCTTCGTCTCTTCGGGAATTCCACTCAGGTGCTCCGGCAACGCCTCCGTCTTCAATTTCTTCGTCGCTGGTTCACCAGTTGACATTCCTGTGCGACAGCACTATAATCGCCACACATTTATCAATAAAGAACGAGTAATCGGAACACCAGAGTCTGAATGAAGTTTTTATCCCTAAAGGAAATCTGGACTACGACGAATCCCTTGCAGCACCCTTCGGTACTGAAAGACCATCTTCAGATCTCGCACAGCCAAACAGAGACTTCGGGAAGAAGCGATTCAAGGAAGGAACAAGAAACTACAATACAACACCTACTTCGAATAAGGGTACGATATTGGTAGATGCCAATTTTTGAGTTGCCGCCTACGTTCTCCAGGCGGGACCCGTCTCTGCTTGCGCGCGGCTACGCAGCGGTTCGACTTGGCACGTATTGGGGCATGACGTCATTCGTCGACAACTCTGGCCTGGGTCGTCGCTGTGGTTCGTTCTCGGTCTAGATTTCTGTATTATGATTTCCCAAATGCTCTGATATATCTGAGACTGACTCATTTCTGTCGTTCTATGTTGAGCTGGGTGTCTGCCATGTAAGAGGATAGGTATATCGGTTGAGCAGTTTCGAATACTTGAAACTAAACCGTATAACATGGCTTTCATGTGATTTTTTGTGAAATAGCATTTGGAAATATGGTTATCTTAAGTAGTCAAACTCCTAACAGTTTGGGTATCTGTTACCGTTGTCATAAGGTTTCCACTGCTAGTGTTCTAGGTTTCTTTCAAGTATTTTTTTTACGAATGAACTGCTTAGTTCTTCAATCTGTCAGTCCTTTCATTCTGTTTACGTCATCTGTGGCTTGTGGTGCTTATTATGAAAAGTAACACCTTTTCTCATTGTTTTTCATGGCTTAGGCTTAACGTAGCCTGTTTTTTATAGACCTTTTGCCTTATCGATTTTGTTTCATCTTCCTTTCGATCAATAATGCTCATGTTTCCTAGAAGAGATCCATACGATGTGTCGAAGCACTTGTGACCTGTTGAAGTGATGGCAAGTGTCATAAGAGACAACAACGGTTTTTCTCTCAATCAGGTTCGTTCAGTCAAAGTGCTCTGCATTGATTCTCGAGAAGTCAATTTGACCTTTGTTTCTGTTTTGCTTCGTTTTTTTTCTTTTTTGAAATTTCTGGTAGTCTACGATTTGTTTCGAAATTTTCATCGAGTTTTAAGTTCTCACAGCAACTTTCTATGATTTTCCTACGATTCCACTTGTTGGGATACTTGGATGACCCGTCTTCACAGGAATTTTTTCGGAATTTTTATGGTCTACCCCAGGTCGTTACGACCATAGGCAGTCGCCGCTCCTGTGGATCAGAGGGTGATTTGCTACTGCGGGATTCGTTCGATACCAGGACAGTGTTGGATCCTAGTATTAGTTTACTCTTAGCTTAGCTTCTCGATAGAATCGCCACGCTCTTCCTGAGCTTAGGACACCCTGCTGAGAGGGGGAGAATCACCCCGCTGTGCATCGCAGCCCGACACCCAGAAGCACCTCCCAGCCACGATGAGGCGGTAGACCGTTAGGAGGTACGACTTCACTATGGATATGAATGACTCTTCTACATATTTTGATAAAATTACCGATTACTTCCAACAGGGGATGTATTTTTAAAGAATTCAGTTGAAGGGAAATTAGTAGTGCAGTTATATGGTAGTGAATGTTCTACTCCGAATTTTTCAGTTGCCTGCATTCTTTTCCGTACACCACTTTTCCTGAACTTTGGGTCACTTGTAGGCTACATTGTGGACTACTCCATTTCCGTCCACCATCTGCCAATGAACAGAAAGGAAGGAAGCTGATGGAGAATACAAACGGAAGAAGAACATAGTGCAGTGTCGAATTTTAGTGTCATAGACTGCCCATTTGGTTGCAACACGTGCTTCGCTGGATGCAACACCAACAATGGCTTAGGTGAAAGCGTAATGTAAGGTACTACCGTTTCGTGGTGTTTCTCACGGTCCGTCACAGGTAACAACACCTGTGGTAGGGTGAGGGCCGACAGTTCAACATCGAACATGACGAAGAACTGTGGCGCCCACTGGTCCACTCAGATGTCCCAGCCACCACAAAAGACATGCATGAACTCCCTTACCAAGTGAGCTGAATAATGGACCATATACCAGTCAACAGATGTGGGCTGAGCTGCGCTGATGTCGACATGCCTGTCAGTGTTTCCATCCACACAGCAATTTTCTGGTGTATTTGGAGCGAGGTGGTGAGGACTGGGTATTGTACAAAGTTGATTCGAACGGCTTTTCTTGACTTGTAGAGAGCAGTTGTCTACCCATTTTATAAGGAAATACGGACAGTGTAGCATAAGTCCACATTGTGAATTAAAACAGTCATATGCATTTACTTAAATGTTATTCGTGTTGTCAAGTAGATAACGATGAAAGACTGAAGGTTTGTAAGTTATCTTGGTAATCATTTGTAGACAATTTCGTTCGTGATTTAGGGAGCAGTTTCATCCTAGAAATGTTACTTTAATGATATTGAGACATTTGTTTTCGTGCTTCCCAGATCAATCCTGTTGACAGGTGGTTGCTGATGACACTGGTAGATTGAAAGCTAGTAGAGAGGCAGGCGAAACGAAGGACCTGCATGGTGTGGTGGCGAATGCGTTACTCACTGGGTAGGACAATAGCGCGTTCGTTTCCCACCGCCGACACTTGCGGTTCGGTGTTTTGTAAATATCCCAGCATCATTGTGGTTGTGTTCCACGTAATACCCTGCAGTGAAAAATTGTATGCAGCAAATAAAAAGTTAACAGTGTTGCTTTAATCGTTCCAAAAGTCAGTTTATCTTCTGTGTTATTAACCTCACGGTGGTGAATAGTGCACTTTTGCTTTGTAGTTGAGAGGTAGTAACTGGATTCTGTAGCAGTAGAGTGTACTCTCTTGACAAAGGAATACGGGTACAGGTTGATAAATTCCGTCCTCAAAAATTCGAACTGGGTTCCTTTCTGCGGAAATCTACACGAGTAACTTTCGATCATAGCGTTTAGGTGTAATCGTTGAATTTGAAAACAACAGAGTGGATTTATATGTCTGAGTGCGTTTGACGTTTTTTATTTCGAAAATATAGCTTGTAAGTTTATTCCTAAAATCTTAAGCATAGAACTTTTTTTGCCAACTCGGCATGTTATTTTTTCACATAAGCTTTCGGAACGGTTGTTAAGTAGACTTTTCTTTTATCTGTATTGCTTGTTGTCCATTCTAAAACAAGATGTCGGCAACTTCTTTTTTTTTATAGTGCGACACTTACCAACAAAATGGTAAACGTAGTGCTGACAGCGACTCCAGCTCGTCTTCTGCATCGAATGAAACTGGCCATCTGAGAAAGCGTCGTAGGCTACAGAACAGAAGTAATGAGAAAGTGAGATGTCTTCTGCTTTCCTTTTCATGTTCTTTTCTTTCCTTTTCCTTTGCATTTTTAGCAACAGTTAAGCTATAAATAAGAAGTTCTACACCAATCTTTTCCTTGTCACAACCCACGTCGGGGGCCCTGAAATCTCCACCGGAGAAAAAACGCTCAGGATTCTGCCCTCAGATGTTCGAGTTGTGATAGAATGTATGAACAGAGGCACACCACCATGACTTTTCGTAACTCATATAGTCTTTACTTCATGAAGACCAGCGGAGGACGTCGCGCACTCTCGTCCTGTCCAAAATGTATGACCAAAGGGTTCTTCGCAACTGTCGGCTGATATGCTTATTGAGTGTGCTCTGTACTCTGTTACTTTACTGTAACTGTTAATCTAGTGGGTCGAGAAGGCACGCGTTGATGGAAAATTTTTGTCAAATCTCTTTTTCGTCGACGATATCGTGTTTTCGAAAGGTACCAGCAAAGCAGGAACGATGCTAAATTAGGTTAACGAATTGCGAGAAAGATTGGATTGCGCATTAATAGGACGAAGGCCCAATTCATGAAGAACCCATGGTACGAAGGTGAACGTAGGAAAATCACCTCATACGTGTACCTTAGACGCACTGTGAACATGCAGAGCAACGTGGAGGATTTAACAGAAGAAGGTTAACAGCGTGGACCGCATTCGGGCTTCAGAGAAGCCACCGACCAACTAATGATCCTAAAAATCCGCGCCCGCGAATTCGACTCAACAGTCCCAGCGCTGTTATGCAGCGAAGATGTGAGCCCATTCTTCATTCACACCAGGAATTCTGCACAATACCCACAGAAAACCTGAAGGATCTCTTCCGAAATTTAACTGGTTTTCGCAACGTCTTTCTCTGAGGTGCGCAGCTCAGATCTCCCTCACCTATGCCATCTTCAGAATCCAGCAAAACATACATCAGCAGCACATATGGCACAGTAATATAATAAACATAAAAGACAACAGAAGGTCGAAAAGAACAGTGGAGTGAATTAGAAGGAAACGGAAGCGTCCTTTTGGAGGAATACCCAGACGATGGGTGAAGGTATTCGTGGCTAACGTCAACTATCTGCATAGACAGATGCATGTGAAGCAGCCACCACCATGGACGGTGTTAGTGTGAGAGAGAAACGGACGGAAATTGTGCTGGTATAGCATTACCACTGTAAACGGTTTATTCAGTTACTAGAAGAAGTTAAATCATTGTCGTGGCAACCTTTTTTTGTTTTTAAATAAAGAATCTGTGGCGACTGTAAAGCTAACTACAAAGGAAGGCTGCCTAGTGTAGTCGCATACCACTCGCTTGCATGTCTTGTTTGGTGCTCCTTGTGTCACAAAGGCTCTCTATCCCTGTAATTATGGTACCTACTAGTTTCGTTTCGTCGATGTACTTACTTTTCACTATATCGCTCACTTTTTTCTCTGTAATCTCCAGATCATTTTGCGAAGTCCATATTCACTTTCAAGAATGTTAATGTTTAATAAAAAGAAACTGCAACCGCACGTAGACCTAATGAAGTTATTGTCTTATCTTACAGACATCAAACACTACGTTTGGAGCGTCAGGTCAAAATTTTCAAACTGGAATATCCAAGGTTATTCATTATTATGATCTTCATCCGTTTTTTTGCAAGTCTGGGCCG